TGGATGTACACATGAACACAAAAGTATTTTTTAGTTCCTTCATCTGAGCCTCTGAAGAAACAATGGGTTAATTTTATTTTCTCTGGAAATTTTCAAACATTTCACCGACTGTTTCCTCAACTTGGGCCAATACAGAGCTGGCCTCGGATCGAGCTACCAAGCAACACTTTCTGATGTGTAATTGTTCAAGTTCAGACAGGTAATCTTTCTCTCAAAATCGTTCAATACTGTTTATGCATCAGTAAGTCAAGCCAGTGACTAAAATATCAGCTTCACATCGTTTCTTTTAGTAGGATGAAAATAATCGTATTTAAATTGTGAACAAATTATATACAGAAAGCGATCAAAGAACAATCTTTCCACACAGCGCGAGTTTATCTGGACACTTGCCAAACTCGTTATGAAATCAATGACGCACGTTACTGCACAACGAAGCTCTTACTGTATTTACATAATCGTGTTTGCATTGGTGAAAGCAGAGAGAGTGCAGAAACCGCTTTGCAATGATAAGATCTTCATTCTCGCGATCAACACACTGTCATCTGCTCAATGCTCATCACGGCAACATTTTATGTGATGGGAATGGGAATAGATCTAAATACTTTAAAAACATCTCACGATTCGTTAATCTCGATAGCTGTTATAGTAAAAACGTATAATAGCAGTAGTAAAAGTATTCGGGAGAGAGTTTCACATGTAATGCGTAGCTATTTCATATGCAAGCATGTCAGCCAATCACAGCAGTGGCCGCGGTTACACTGAATCCCACAGCAGACACGCCCCTTCAAACAGAGTGTTCAAATCAGAGGCTAAAAGCAGGCTAGGAAAAAATGCCATTTATTTCTAAATTATGATTATTTTTTATCTAAAAAACATACTAACATTGTAAGGGTAACCCAGGAAACATTATAAAATAATAAAAAAAAACATTCTAGGGCACCTTTAATAGTTTCTATGCAGATTTACTCCATGACAAAACCACCCCAGTCATTCTAGAATGATTCATTCTTTCCAAATAGAGCTATTCAAGTCATCTGGTGAAATTAGGGCTGCAACTAACGATTATTTTGATAATCGATTAATCGGACGATTATTTTTTCGATTAATCGGATAAATTCAATTAGATTTTGTTTATTATGACTAAATAAAACCCAGTTACACTTTATTTTAAGGTGTCCTTGTTACAGTGTAATTATATATTTAAGTACAGAGTAATTATATATTTAAGTACAGAGTAATATTAAGTAACTACATGTACTTACTATAGGAATAGGGTAGGATTAGGTTGAGGGTTAGTTGCATGTAATTATGCATGATAATTTACTGTTATTACTACAGTAAGTACATGTAACATATGTAACAAGGACACCGTAAAATAAAGTGTTACCTAAAACCCTAAATTAGGATATTTATGTGTAAAAGTGTACTTTAAAAAGTGCAAAAGCCACACATTGAGTTTTACAAATATCAATATTTGCATTGTTTTTAATGATAATTGCTGATGGCAAGTTGACAACCATGATTAATGTAAAAAAAAAAAAAACATTTATATCCAACATATTGTTTTAACACAATTTTTGTTAAAACAAATTTCCAGACATGTTGTTCAGATGTGAAGATATAAACTAAAAACATCTCAAATATATAATTCATTTAATTTTTATTTAAAATTAATTGAATTATAAGGATAATTTGTAAAAATAAATATAGAAAGACTGAAAACAAGCGTGTGAACATAGAGCCGCAGTAGATCGCGTTTGAAAAACAATTAACTTAGTAGACAAATGCTATATAAAGAGAGCGGAGTGGAGGTACGCAGCAAGCTAACAGGCTTGATTAAAAAGACAGGAAAAATGATGCATTAGTGCACAAACATTCACTGAAAACCACTGAGTACAGTGACTAAAAAACAATAATTTACTGCTGCTGTTATTAACTGCCTTTATATTTAGTGCTTCGCTTTGTAAAGACGTTTGTAGTAAGTTTTAATTTAATATTTCTGCGGTAGCACTTTTTTAATCCATCACTTATGTTGCGAGCGAACTGATTGCGCAACCTGATGCTCGAGACGCAAAATACAGACATCCCAAGTCTCCCGGAAGTTCTGGAAGTCACCCGCATATTGATAGCGGCTCGCAAATTAGTTCAAACTCCCGGGATTTGAGCACGCAAGCAAGAGCGCGCATGCGAGACAGAAGAGACTGTGCTCCAAACCGTGTAGCGCGAGCGCGCGGCAGAGCAACGGAGGGAGAGAGACCTTGCGTGTGTGCCTCATGAAGCGCGTGTAAGACAGAGAGCATCCTGATTGGCCTGTTTCAACCAATCACCAGTAAACGCTCCCCGTGACGTAAGCAGACCAACTAATCGATAATGACATTCGTTGACAACGATTTTCATAATCGATTATTATCGATTTTATCGATTAGTTGTTGCAGCCCTAGGTGAAATTGTTTTTATATTGCAATGTCATTTTTTACCAATATCATGCATCCCTAATCCTCGCTATGCGCTTTCTATACAGAGATATCGACATCGGTAAATCTCAGTATCGGCCATAACAGCAATATTAATATTGGTTATTAGCCTGGGTTTCCCCATACTGCCTTTGCGCACCGCGATTTTATTCACGCTGCTATGTAGTCTGGATACCATGGACCAGATTTTCGCCTCATCTAGGGGACCAATCACACAACGGGGAGGGAGCAGCAAGACGATGACGACGTCTATGCGACACACCGAAGCAGTTTGTTTATACCTATGGATCAAATATGGCAGCACACGCGAAGTTACCTTTCGATGCAGCCTTACGGCCGTTTCACGCCGCAAGCGTGAGCGGCACTTGAGCGGCACTTGAGCAGCGCGAGAGTATTCACACTGGAAGCGTTTGTATAGTGTCACAGCAGCGGCTCCAAAGCTACATATATAAGCGAGCAATTCTTTACAAAGACAACTATACATTTGTTTTTAGAACAATGGTCATTTATAACATTGATAGTCTTGAAAGTTTGTTATGGGGAGGTGTACAACATTCGCTTATAAATGTTAAACAACAAAACAACCCAGAAAATGGCTCCAATCTATTAGTTTGTCATACTTTCGATATGTTTACAAGACTGCAAACTCCGCGGATAAAAAACAAAACACAAATAAACCACACACTCGGGTTTGATTTGGGTTGTGCTAGCCTATGTAGCTGTCTGTGTGTTACACTAAAAGAACGTTTATATAATATATTTTTTTATATAACACACAACTTTCACCCAAACTGAATAATTAAACAAGTTTTTACCAGGTAGCCTAAATCTTCTATAAATATTTTTGAATCTTGATTCTTTTATTTGCCTACTCAAGTTCTTGTTAAAACTCACTAGACATGCTTATTCTGTGCATTTTGGGCGTTTTTTGTGTGAAATCATTTATTTTTGTCCATCAAAAGTGTGCTTTCACTTTAATTGAGCGTGAGCAGTGCAGCAAAAACAGATTCGACGCCGAAACCCCCGCTTCACTGCTGCTAACGCGCCGCTCCTGCTCGACGCTCACGCGCTGCTCCCGGTGTGAATGCACTCATTAGCATGCACGCCGGAAAAAAATACGCGCTGCTCACGCATGCGGTGTGAAACGGCCGTTAGATACACGCCATCGTGTACACAAATCTCTGGCCCATCGTCTTCTTCCTCGTCTAATTTCTGTCACTCTACATACGTCATCTGGTATGATTGAAATGATTGGCTATGAGCTTCGTACAGGCACATTTGATAGACATTCTTAGCACCCAATAAACGGCTCTGGGCATTCATAAACCACGCCTCAAATACGAGAAAATGAACATGTGGTTCCCAGACCCAAGTCTCAATGAGACTTGGGTCTGACGTTAGCCAGGCTTATCGGTATCGGCCACAATTTTCACATCGGTGCATGATGCATCACTAGTTCTGTCAACTCAGTTAATCGCAAACTCTAGTTCAAACCTCTGAAGCATGTACACCTGATAGTGTGACACGTGTGGCACTCAGCCAATCACACAGAACATGGAGAGCATCAGTACATTTCACTTCTCGCGAGAGAGACAGCACAATTCACTTCTCTTCTAAAGATTGAGAGATCATTTGTGAAAATTATTATAATTAAAAGCATTTACAATGCATGATGTGAATCAAAGAAATTGGCCTAATAATTATGGGTTCACAAAGAGCTCAAATGAATACACATCGTTTAAAAGAATTATATATAAATGCATGTATTATATTATTTATATTAATTTAAAAGCAAAGTTTAATATTACTTGCCAATTAATATAATTATATGAATATATATAATATGCATTAAGTAATTATAATTCACATAATATAAATTTCATAAATTAGCAGCAAAAGATGAGCAATTGTCTCTAAAGTTTTTTCATTATGCTATAATTTGGAGCAAGATACAGGGTGTGTGGCTTTATTGCATCTGATACATGCCACTTTGCTCACAGCTGATTGGTCCAGTTTTGGTTTGCGATTTCTAACTCAGAATAAAACCTGCTCCGGAGCAGGTTAGCCGTGTAGCGCAAGTTACCATGGCGATGAACACCGCTAAAAACCCATCCACCTTCTTAAACCCAAAAAACCAGAGCTTGCTCAAACTAATCTCGAACTTACCTGGGTAGTAACTGAAACCAGCTTTGTGCAACAGGCCACAGAACAGGGCTGCGTTTCCCAAAAGCATTGTTAGCTTACGTTGATCGTAGAGACCATTGGTGGCAATTGCTCTACGATCAACTTAGGCTTACGATGCTTTTGGTAAACGCAGCCCAGTGCGTTACTGACAAACTGGGAAAAGTTGTGCTGCAACAATATAAATGTGTGAAAAATGAATTTGAACATTCAAGCATGAACCCTCTAGTACACCCAAAATCAAGATGTTGTAAAAGGGTATAATATGGCCTCTTTGAAAACAAGCAATAAGCAAATAAAGGAGTCAAAGAGTTTAGTCAGAACGTTATAAAGTGGAGAGTGTACCTTCTTAAAAAGCACAACACCATCCTTGGCAACTTCAAACTTTGAAAAGACTGCATCATCAGAGGTGATGCCAAAGGGTACGTCATCCACAGACTCTGCGGTTTTAACGAAGGCCTTGGCATCTTCTGATTCAACATCCTGCAGAGAAAAAAAATTTAATTAAAAAAAACCTTACTCCAAATTAGCAAAATTAGCTAAAGAAAAGAATGAATTTTACCTTAAAGAACCCAATAACTGCAACCTCATTATCAGCAATAAGAGACTCTGTCTGCGTCACATCACTCAAAGTAGTGGCTGCGGGGCCAGTTCGTTTTTTCAGCCAGTTGACAATGTCATCAGCCTGTCGACCAGCTGCAGACAGAGCATGTCATAGTGAGACAAAAGATCCTGGTGGCACCAAGCAAACACTTACAAAGCAGAAATACATTTATAGTAAGACGCCTTTGCACATGGCCATGGCCATAGCCATCTATTAGGTCACTGAGGTCCAGACCTCTGTATTTTTCCGATGTGTATATAATAAAGGTGGTGAAATATTTGCCTAATATAGTATTAACTCCACTTTAGTTCCACAAGAATATTGCACACTTGCACAGCACCAAGACCTTCTCATCTGAGCTGCCTCAGTGGTCTGATTTGATTGGTCAGGTCATCACAAATATTTTGACACTGACAAGCAGTGACAAAGTAGGCGGGTTTAAATGTTCACAGAAGCTGCTGAGTGCGATTTCCAGCACAGCGCAACGCTTCAGTTACTGCTCATAAAGTGCGAGATAATATGCAAGGAGCTAAACTAAACATTTCATTTTTGACCGCTGTTTTAGGATAGAAATGTTAAACGACCAACAAAAATCAGGCAAACTAGTCTAATTTCGCCATTTTGAATTGAAAATAGACCTATTTACGTGGCTCAAGTTGTAATAATTAGTAACAGTCAATGTGACGGGTCAAGAACGTTAACGAAGCAGTTTCATCATATTAGGCATAAGATTACTAACAAATGTTAACATTGTGAATGAAATTAAAAAACTTAGTTGCTTGGCTTTCCTGGCAACTTCAGTAACTTGTCTTCATAAAACATCAGTTAACCCAGTTTACTTTCTTCACTGTCACAGACGAAAATGAAAAGTCAGCTTTAGGAGGGGGAAGAGACAAGGCAAGATAAGGAGACAAAAAAAGAAAGTGATGGAGAAGAGGAGAGAGCATGTATTGACAATCTACTGCCCAGTGCCCACTGACATGGTTTTAAAGCTATTATTATCCAATATTATTTGCCCTCAAACATCTTAATGCACATATGTAGATCAGAGAAATCAAGTTTCTGGGGGTAGCATGCCCCCAAACCCCCAACTAGCTACAATTTGGGACCTTGTTGATTGGAAAAAAAATAATCTGCCAAACGCATGAATGTTAATGTTTTTATAAAGCAACTTGTGCTGCATTTAAGGCCGGGTGTTCAATCCTGCTTCTACAGGAATAAATAAATCCTGCTCCTGGAGGGCCACTGAGAGAGTTTAGCTTCAAACCTAATTAAACACCTGAACTAGCTAATAAAGGTCTTACTTGGCATACTAGAAACTTCTAGGCAGGTGTGTTGAGGCAAGTTGGATTATAACTCTGCAGGACAGTCCTCCAGGAATGAGTTTGGCTTCTCTTGAGACTCCCCTGCTTCAGAGCGGTCATAGTTAATGATATGCTAAATCCTGCCGGCACGTTGAAGTGATTGGTTACACGGTAGTTTGTGACTTCAGAAACGCCAGTGATTTCAAAACACGTTTGAGACGTCTTTAGATCACTGCAAAAAAAAATGTACACGCAGTGGTGTTGACTTATGAAATTTGCACATGGTTTGTGGTATTTTTATTATGCTTAAAGACATTGACAAACATTAAAAACTATTTTCACCACAGGGGGACTTTAAGGCATACATCTGATCAGTTCCTGCATTCTCTGGCAAACAAAGATTAAATCTAACTCAAGTACTCCTTCCACGTATCCTAATCCATTTATGACCACAGGGCAGGACTGACATGTCAATCCGAATGACACATCACACACAGTTTCAAAGGTCTTAATATTACTCTTGTTATACCGTAATGAGTGCCACAGGTTACAGCAGGAATGACTGATGCAACACATCAGCAATTACACTGTGGTTCAGAATTTGATCATGTCTGAGATCATGCGTTACAGAAACCCAGATGGAGTCCTTCCATCAAGGCTACAGATATAGTGACAGACTAAACTTCAGATATTCTTTTGTTCCAAACAGTTTCAGATAATTCTGCAATCCCAAAAGGCAGAATTTTCCAAATAGTGTTTGCAAACCCCTAGGGGTTTGTGAGGGAACTGCAGGGGAATTGTGAGTTGATAAAAAGATAACCAAATCAAAAGTAACACTAAAATAAGTGAATAGGAGTGCACAATTATTCAAAATAAAGCTAAAAGCGAGCTATACTTTAAATCGCAGGTTTTGATTATCACAATTTAAAGTATATAGTCTGTTGTGCTGCTTGTTTCCAAGTGAAGAGCTAATGTTTTTCTCTTTATTAATGTGTCGTGTAGCTTATAAGTGTAGTGCTTACCATGTTTTCAGAGCAGCTTGGTTCAAACTAAACGCTGCTTCTTATAAACTCAATCTCTGCAAGCATGCCAGTCTAACATGCATTTGTAAATTTAATGTGTGCCAAGTTCAGTTTACATGTATACACATGGTTTCCAACATTTAATGGCCGAAGTTTACAGAATTTTACCACAAATCCATCACAATAAAAGGCTGAGGATTTGACACTTCAAAAGAAGTTTTGAAGGTTTGAAAAAAAAAAAAAAAAGAAATATTAGAATTTTAACTTAATTCTTGTAGAGAGTGAACCGTAAAAGTGAATTTTAAAATTAAAAATAAATCAATTACAATTTTTAGAATATTTTACATGCATATGTGACCATTAACCAACTGTGATCATGCAAATGTGTCATTACATTGAAATTTTAACTTAAAGGTGCCCTAGAATGTTAAATTGAATTTATGTTAGCATAGTTAAATAACAAGAGTTCAGTACATGGACATGACATACAGTGAGTCTCAAACACCATTGTTTTCTCCTTAGTTAAATCTCGTTTTTGAAAAACACCCCTGAAAAACAGGCGAATCTCCACATATACCCGACTGTGACGCAACAGTCGGGATCATTAATATGTACGCCTCCAAATATTTGCATATGCCAGCCCTCAATGCCAGGCGGAACTGCGCAGCCGAAGCATGGCAGTTGCTCAGTGTTTGGATGTACACATGAACACAAAAGTATTTTTTAGTTCCTTCATCTGAGCCTCTGAAGAAACAATGGGTTAATTTTATTTTCTCTGGAAATTTCCAAACATTTCACCGACTGTTTCCTCAACTTGGGCCAATACAGAGCTGGCCTCGGATCGAGCTACCAAGCAACACTTTCTGATGTGTAATTGTTCAAGTTCAGACAGTAGGGATGCACGATATAGGATTTTGGCCGATATTCGATATGCCGATATTTTCAAACTAATTTTGCCCGATGCCGATACCGATATATTTGAATTTTTTTTAAGTGCAAAAAAAGCTTATTAAAGCTTCTATTAATGTTCTCAGTCAAGAGCAGTGAGTGATTTCCTCTGTGTTTTGTTGTTTTATTAACATTAACGGGATAGTTCTCCCAAAAAAATTAATTGTCATCATTTACTCTCAAGTTTCTTTCTTCTGTTGAAATTATAAAAGTTATTTGGAAGAATGTGGCTAACCAAACAGTTGCTGTACTCCAGTGACTTCCATAGTATATTTAAGCACAAGAAAGAAATGAATCCAGGTTTGAAACAACATTAGATAGACAGAATTTTTATTTCTGGGTGCAGTATCTCTTTAAAGACAAGCGGCAGAATATTATTACTGTCTCTTTAAGAATTGCACGCGAGTAACGCGACGCGTCTAATATACACGCATTTGACAAGCAGATTTTCTCTGTTTGCTTTCACTTTAGACATAACCAACTTTGTTTATGTAAACCTTGTGTGTATTTGACAGTATCAGCGCAATAAGACTCGAAATATTAGTCCAGTATGCAGACTCTGTGACAGGCTTTTAGTTCCTGTGAGCGTCGGGTGTAACATGCTCAGAAAAGCGGATGTTAGAACAGCGCATCAGCACGTGAATGACGTGTTTACCTAGCAAGACTTTGACGCACATGCAAACAATGAACTTTTGTGAATTGCGGTGTCCCGTGAGTGTAACTCTACCTCTGCGTTTACATGTGATGTGATGTGAATGTACGTCGCGTTGTACAGTATGTTGAGATGAAGGCGCCAGAATTGAACTGATAGAATGCACGATACTATGATTTTTCTTCAAAAGCAGATAGAGGAGACATTTTAATCGTCCACGATCAAAAACCGTGAGACGCATGGCACACCCCTAGTTGGAAGTTTAAGTTGCTGGCGCTCATGCTTCGTTCACGGTCGTCACGTGCGCATTGGAAACACGCCACCCTATCGGCAAGACTCATCGGCAGAAATATTCATATCGGCCGATGCCGATGATGGTCATTTTAAGCTTTTATCGGCCGATACCGATGTTGTCCCGATATCATCGTGCATCCCTATCAGACAGGTAATCTTTCTCTCAAAATCGTTCAATACTGTTTATGCATCAGTAAGTCAAGCCAGTGACTAAAATATCAACTTCACATCGTTTCTATTAGTAGGATGAAAATAATCGTATTTAAATTGTGAACAAATTATATACAGAAAGCGATCAAAGAACAATCTTTCCACACAGCGCGAGTTTATCTGGACACTTGCCAAACTCGTTATGAAATCAATGACGCACGTTACTGCACAACGAAGCTCTTACTGTATTTACATCATCGTGTTTGCATTGGTGAGAGTGCAGAAAATGCTTTGCAATGATAAGATCTTCATTCTCGCGATCAACACACTGTCATCTGCTCAATGCTCATCACGGCAACATTTTATGTGATGGGAATAGATCTAAATACTTTAAAAACATCTCACGATTCGTTAATCTCGATAGCTGTTATAGTAAAAACGTATAATAGCAGTAGTAAAAGTATTCGAGAGAGTTTCACATGTAATGCGTACTAGCTATTTCATATGCAAGCATGTCAGCCAATCACAGCAGTGGCCGCGGTTACACTGAATCCCACAGCAGACATGCCCCTTCAAACAGAGTGTTCAAATCAGAGGCTAAAAGCAGGCTAGGAAAAATGCCATTTATTTCTAAATTATGATTATTTTTGATCTAAAAAACATACTAACATTATAAGGGCAACCCAGGAAACATTATAAAATAATAATAAAAAAACATTCTAGGGCACCTTTAATCTCAGGGGGTACTTCAATTAAATATTTTAAATCTAAGGGGTTCAGACTCAGCTGACACAGGAAAAAGTTTGCAAACATTAAGACTGTCAATTGAAAGTCCTAGAACTTTTTCTGAGGCTGGTCTGCAGGAGTAAGACCATGAACAGCCCACATCAACCAGAGCACAGGCAACATGAGGAACTGCACGTTGAAGGAAAGGGGGAGGGGCCTTATACACACTGGAATGCAGGGCTTCCACATACAGAATGACATGCACGTCCTCAGCAGTTAGCACTCACATTCATGGTACACAGGCATCTGACCTGTCTAAGTTGACTTATGGTTTACACTTTACAGAGTACGATAGCATAGTCAAATTACACTTTAGCAATTCCAACCAAAACAAAGAACAGTTTATATGCACACTGACTATATGCACTCATTCTATCTGGTTTTAGAGAAATATTGTTACGGATTTTGAAAGCCTATTGTTTTATTCACAGATCTGAAATCCAAATAAAAGTAGTGTACATTTTTTACAATGGTTAAAATAATAAAAAAGTCAAAAACCAAAGACATTCTGGTAGGTCATATACCAAAAGGACTATAGATATTGTACAGAAAACTAACCAGAATACTCCTTGGGGTTGTCCTTCTCTCCTCCCTTAAAGAACTTGATGGTGGGATATCCACGAACACCGAACTCTTGAGCGAGCTCCGCTTCCTCCGTGGCATCTACCTTAGCTAGTCTGATGTCAGAGCCTTCAGCTTTCAGCATACCAGCCGCTTTGGCATATTCAGGAACCAGGGCCTTGCAGTGCCCACACCATGGCGCATCTGCAATAAGCAAAAAGTGGTTAATTCAATACATCTTACATTTACTGAATGTTAGTGATTTTACATCAAGCATTCAATTACTCAAACTACATTAGCACTAGCAGTAATTTGTCTGACTGAACAGGTTAGTCGGGTACATGACTAAAAAGCAAGAAGTTTCAGTTGGGTGCCCAAATGCAGTGAAATTAGATAAACTGATAACTGAATAAATCAAACTTAATCCTCACTTTGGAATATCATGGCTTTAACAACATGCCATGTAGTGAGATAAGACCAAAGTTCATAATGCTTGAGATGAAAATCAGTATGCGTGTCAAAAACTCACAATCTTATCAAATAAAGAACTAATGTAAGACTGCACTGTTACGCTTTCCACTGTTCACACGAGAAATGGTTTTAAATTTCTAATTTATTTAGCAAGAAAAGTTATTTTTCTGATGTACACGTCAACCTAGCCCTGTACCTCTGGGAAGTCCCGCCCATATTACACGCTACCACGCCTTCCATTATGACGAAACACTCGTGGACACCAGTGATTGGTTAACTTGAGGGTCGATCACGACCATGCATCAGGATATACTTTGAGAGCGGCCAATGAATTTAGCCCGGTAAAGACACGTGAACTAACAGCCCGGATACACACAAGTTTGAGAAGTATTTTAGGATTAGAAACTCATTGATGCTTGCCCATAACATGTCAAACCTCGTCTCCTTTGCATGAAGTGGAGGTATATAAATAAGGGCCAGGAAATCGAAAGTCGAAAAACAAGTGAAAGTGCAAATCAGGGTTTATCCTTTCAACAAAAACGACATTCAGAGCTTCCGATCCAAAGCTGTTATCGCCCTGAATATGTATTTGAATGTACACGTCTGCTAACTTAAGTTAGATTGAATGCATTATTCGCAAAAGGTTTAACTTGCACTTTTATTTGTCAAAACAGAGTTTGAGTGCCTGGCCATGACGTCTTTAATTAACTAACAGTTGGGCTACATTGCGTCGGCTTTTGTGAAAGCGTTCAAAATTGCACACTTACGTTAGATTTACGTAGCACACGTCTGTGTTACTACAAGGAGATAGACTCATGAACAGAGATCAAGTATTGTGGTTGCAAGTTGAAACTAAGAATAAAACAATTTCACTGATAGCGGGTTTCGTTTAGCATTTTACTCATGCACAAACTATCATCGTAAAACAAATGAACAACAAGTCAAACAAAGCTGGCGACTACTTACAAAACTCAACAAGGATATTTGGGTAAGTTTTGAGCGCCTCCTCGAAGTTACTTTTCTTCAGTACAAGCACGTCCTCCTCCTCGGTGATATCAGCCGTTATCATAGCGGCCAGTGCGCACACAACCAACAACTTCAGCATCTCGGATCACCTCCAAACGTGCCAGCTAATAATGAAACCGTGATGGAAACCGGAGAGACTGTTAGCGCGTTGGGTATTCTTTCACCTTTAACAGTCTGAAGTGTCGCTTGAATTTTGTGTCTGCCGCTAATAACGTGGCAATGTGCGCAGGAAACAGAGAGAAAGGCGCTGCTGCGCATGCGCATTTATGAGGCCGAACGCTGTTCGTGTTGAATTGTGAGTGGACCGCGCGTCTCCTAGCACCTGGAAGTGAATCTGCCCGTCTTGAATACTAATTTCCAAATCCTACTACGGCGAATGCTTAGCACATGAATATTATTTACGCAACGTGACCAACCGCTTGGTCACGTTGCGTAAACAGACGTGATGGCCAGGTCAGCTGGCGAATTACGGTAAGTATACGTGATGGCCAGTCAACTGGCGAATTAACTCGTATCACAATTATTAATTTGACTTCTTTCCTCCAGGAAGGAACGCGAGCATACTAATTAACCCTTTCATGCATGAATTATGATAACCTCAGTCAGGATTTTTTTTCCTATGTGTTTTTATTGCTCTTAGGGCATGAAAAACAAGATTTTTTTTTTTTTTTTTTACAAATTTTCCATAGAGATTTTCAGGTGTCCACTTGAGTGGACAGCATGCATTTATGGTTTAAACTGAAGATATACTATATTAAACATAATACAATAATCAAACAGATAAAGTATGTGTATTTAACAAACTAATCAATACAATTATATCAAATCATGTGAAAACTATAAAATATATACAAAAAATATAAATTCGAAATATTGCAAATGCAATTGAACTTCATACAAGTTGCACTTCGTGTATCTTTGATATCAGAACATGAGGACGTGATTCCATCAGAAATTTCTACAGCCTGTCAAGGTACAACAGTGGAAACCACTCAGATGCTCCCTCCAGTGTGCAGAGTATGTCAATTTACCTTTATTAGCTGATAATTCTGATTATGTTCAAGATAGACACATTTCTAGCATAGGCCTCTTCTGAGAAAACCTAGCGATACGTATTTTTCAATCTCATCTGAAATTAGCAGTGTTGGGGCATGCATAACGCATTCAGATTACTTTTTTGATGTTACAAGTAAAGTAATGTGTCACAAGTAACGTGCATTACATAATCAGATTTGTTTTAATGTTACGAGTAAAGTAATGTATTACAAGTAACATGTATTAATCAGACTACTTTTTGATCTAACAAGTAAAGTAATTAATTACAAGTAATGTGCATTACGTAATCAGATTACTTTTTGTTGTTACGAGTAAAGTAATGCATTACAAGTAACATGCATTACGTAATCAGATTACTTTTTGGTGTTACGAGTAAAGAAAAGCATTACAATATAGTACATTACGAAATCAGATTACTTTTTGATCTAACAAGTAAAGTAATGCATTACAAGTAACATGCATTACGTAATCAGATTAATAAATGAATAATAAATCCACACACACAGAATACAAATCAGGATAATCAAACATAAATATCTCAATAAACATTGTTATAATACCCTTTAAACATAATCTACAATTACATAAATGAGGATATCACTTCTTGGAAAGAGATAAGGAGCTTCACCTATCTCACTGACTAGTTTACATTAAAAAGGGGTTAACAGAACGAGCAATGGCGACACCCTCAGGCCAGACGAGGCTACTACACAATAGCGTCCGCACATGGTCTCCTGAGCACGATATCAAATCTTAACTCAATGTTATAAATGTCACTACGTAACTTAGACATCAGAAAACTCACAAAATTTAACTTATAATTTCCTGCAGTGTTTTACAGCATGAACATTGCTCTTACACTAGAAATATCACTCATCACGCTGGGCACGTTAATACACGGTGAATCTACGATATAGAAACATAAACACAACAAAATAACAATCACTTACTTTTCTTCATTCACTCAACACATGGAATATTGAAAGCTGGATTTCTCAGGATGAACTAAAGAGGCTAATCAACCCATGTATGTGGGCTAAACTATAACTGTTAAACTTGAACTTGTTCCCGTTCCCACTATAGCCAACACACACTACGCACTTCCTTCACCGTAACCACAGAAGAAGAGTCTTAAAGCGGCAGGCATCCAAAAAACGTCTGAGCCTTTTATACAGCCGCCCCCTAATGTGCGAGCACATTTGTTTCCATTAAAAGGCTTATCAGTCAGGCTGAGGGGGGGCTCACAGAGGCATCGTCCTCCCCAGACGGGAGAGCTGGCAACATCACCAACCGAGCTACCGGTCGGGTGTACACATGTCCTCTGATGTCCACATCAGCGGATCTAATGCACCCATCGTCGCTGCGGTGAATCTTGGTTACATGTCCAATGGGCCACAGGGCTCGAGGTAGCTGCGGGTCCACCAGCATGACAACAGCCTTATCCAGTAGTTCAGGAGAAGAGGAGTGCCATTTCTGTCTGGTCTGCAGCCCAGGGAGATATTCTCTGATGAATCTGGACCAGAATTGGTCAGCGAGAACTTGTGAATGCCGCCAACGTCTGCGGCTCAGGAGCTCCGTCTCAGGATAGACCACTTGGGGGAGGGATCCATCCGGCCGCCCCATAAGCAGACTATTGGGTGTCACAGGGTCGATATCCGCAATGTCGGCAGATACATAACCCAATGGTTTAGAGTTGAGAATTGCCTCAACTTCCAGGAGAACTGTGAGAAGGACATCTTCATGAACAGGTTGGGCTCCCACACAGGTGTAAAGTGCAGACTTGACAGAGCGGACCTCTCTCTCCCACACACCACCAAAATGTGGAGCTGCTGGGGGGTTAAACTGGAACTTAATCCTCTGACGTGCGAGTCGTTTCTGCAAGGTTGGCTCCATACTGGCAAAAGCCTCTCTAAGTTCCCGTTCTCCTCCTTTAAAGTTGGTCCGCTGGTCTGACAACAACTCTGCAGGTGTCCCCCTTCTGGCGATGAACTGTCTTAGGGCCATCAAGTAAGCATCCGCATCCATATTTCTGAGGAGATCCAAGTGTACCGCCCTGGTTGTTAAACACTTAAATATTATCCCCCAGCGTTTCTCCTGGCATCTGCCCATCTTCACAAGCATGGGCCCAAAACAATCCACACCAGTGGAGTAGAAGGCTGGTTTGTGTAATCGGAGACGAGCTGCGGGAAGGTCTGCCATTCGGGGAATGGAAGGCTGAGCTCTCCAGCGCTGACATTCGGCACAAGAACGCTGATGTCTGCGAATCGCCTCCCTTCCATGGATTATCCAGAATGACCGCCGCATCTCTGCAAAGACTCGCTCTGGACCAGGGTGATGCAGGTTGCTATCGTACCTTTGGATAAGCAAGCGTGTAACTGGGTGTGAGGCATCCAGGACAACAGGGTGCAATGTCAAGTCGTCTTGACCTTGCAAACGTCGGAGCCGACCTCCTACTCTTATGAGGTCTGTGGATTTATCTAACTCCGGAGCCAAGGTAAGTAATCGACTCCCAGGTGAGACGGGTTTCCCTGCTGCAAGGAGTTTGTAGTCCTCTGGAAATGACTGTTGTTGGGCTCGCTGGAGAACGATCATCTCTGCCCGTTGGTGCTCTTCAGCGTTAGGCGGTGAACTGGAAGGGGTTTTTCCTAGGATTTCTTGAGCAGTGGCATCTATGAGCTCCTGCCAGGTGTGATACACCTTGTCATCCCGGCTGATCGACATTGGTGAGGTAACTGTTACTCCACAGAAGGTGGCCTTCCGGAGTTCACCTTTGTCCTCAAGCGGCTCAGTGCTGGGTCGTTCTGGCCAGGTGGCTGGGTCCTGGAGAAGGAAGGGAGGTCCTTGAGACCATCGGTTGGGATCTATTAGGGCCGCCAGGGTCTTCCCTCTCGTCAGATCATCAGCAGGATTGTTCGCCGAGTCCACGTAGCGCCAAGTGCACTTCTCTGTTAACTCCTGTATCTCCGCTATTCTGGCGCCCACAAAGACCTTGTAGCGGCAAGACTGGGAGTGTAGGCAGGTTAGTACTGTAGTGGAGTCTGACCACAACACAGTTCGAGCCACTGTCAAGGTAAGTTCCCTGTCAAGGACACGAGCCAGCTGCGCTGCAACCAGAGCTCCACAAAGCTCCAGGCGTGGTATGGAATGCAGACGTCTTGGAGCTACTCGTGAACGAGCAAGGATGAAAGACAGGTGGATCTGGCCTTCCTTGTCCTCAGTTCTCATGTAGGCTACAGCTCCATAAGCTTGCTCAGAGGCATCTGCGAAGATGTGCACCTCACGGATGGCACCCTCAAGGTTTGCGTCTGCAGGAACATATGCACGTGGAAAGGTAAGGAGAGGTAAGGACTCAAGTTCAGCCTCCCAGCTGGACCAGGCTTGCAGGAGTTCGGAGGGTAAGTTAGAATCCTCCCAACCTCGCTTCTTATCCCACAGCTGCCTAATGATGAGCTTTGCTCGGGTGGAGTAAGGTAACATGTAACCCAAGGGGTCATATTGAGTAGCTAGAACTCTGTATATGTTCCTCAGGGTTGGTACCTCGTAGGTCACAGGCCTATGTTTGTAGCTCAAGGAGTCGGTTGCCCAATTCCAGCTGAGACCGAGTGTTGACTCCAGAGGGTTGGACTTATCCTGTGCCAGCCACAGGTCCAGGCTTTCCGATCTGGCCTCTTGAGGCAAGTGGCTCAGGACGCTTGGATCATTGCAAGCCCATTGACGCAGCTCAAAGCCTGCAGAAGACAGAAGATCCCTGAGCCGATCGACCAGCAGCTTGGCTTCACCCGGCGTACACATGCTCTGCAGGCAATTATCGACGTAAAAACAGTTCTCAACCGAGAATCTCAGGTCACCGTCCGACTTGCAGTTGTCAACAATGTGGCGCTGCAGGGTGTATGTCGCACAGCACGGGCTGCAAGTTGTGCCGAAAGGCAAAACTTGCCACTCAAATGTTCTTGGGGGCTCTTCCACCCTCAGGTCCCGCCACAGGAACCTTAGAAGAGGGCGATCTTCAGGGATAAGGCGGACTTGATGAAACATCCCCTTAATGTCTCCACTAACCGCTATGGGATGTTCACGAAATCTCACTAAGACTCCAAGCAAGGGGGCACCAAGGGTAGGGCCAGGTAGCAGGTACTGGTTCAGGGTCTGCCCAAGGTACTGGTGAGAGCAGTTGAAAACAAGGCGGTTCTTT